TTGATTACAGTAATGTTAATAGCAAATATAATTTACTCAAGTAATGTTAATAGCAAATATAATTTACTCAAGTAATGTTAATAGCAAATATAATTTACTCAAGTAAAATGAAAAAATTTTTAATTGAAAAAGTTGACTAAACATCGCTTCTTTTTTAAAAAAAAAAAAGAAGTTTAAACAAAAAAACAATGGTTTTTTTTTGGTTACTTTTTTTTTCAAAGAAAATGTTTTTTTTGCAACCCTGTATGTAACCAAAAATAATTAAAAAATAAATAATTAACAATAATAGTACCTATTTTTTTATTTAAATTAGTTACTAACTTAATCATAAATTTATAAACTTAACTCATTAATCCTACAGAAAAGTGCATATGAATGGTTTGTTTTGAAAAAATCAAGACTGTAAAATGCAGACTCCATTATAAAGACTCCTACAATAAATCTGGAAAACAATGCAAACTATAACAAAAGTAATGCAGAAAGCAAACTATGACAAAAAGAAAAAGTTTTTTTTTTTTTTATGTGAACATTTATTTTTCAAGTTTTGTAAAAATGATTAGGTTCAAACTTTTTAAATCAAACTTTTATCTGAACACCATATTTGTTTTGACTTATTAAATTTATTATAAATTAATAAATTATTACTTGTCAAATTAAAGAAAACTCCAAGTTTTTTTAGTGAAAAAACTTATCTGTAAAAATATGGACAAATTTGTTTTTATTGTTATTGTTCTCACAAGACCAAACATTCAAAATTAAAGTTGATTTTCTTATTTAATTGTTATTGTAGCTAATTATTATTAGATATTTTTTTTTATTAAGGTTGATCAATCTGAATAATGGAATTTCTAACTTCAATAGATTAAATCCATTTTGATCAGAAATAAGCAAACCAAAAATAAAATGAAAAATCCATAACAATTAAATTCTCCAAAATAAATAAAAAAAAAAAAAAAATTTAATAAATTTACTGATATTTAAAAAAATAAAATAAAAATTTATAAAAATTATAAAAAATAAAAAATGTTACTTAATAAATTAGCAATCAATAGTAACGATTGTCCCATCAAATAGGTATTGTCAAAGTCTGAATTAGGTTCTTTTAATTTTTCTGACGAATTTGATTCAATATCTTCTTTAAGTACATAAAAGTACTTAGGAAGTATTTTACCTAAAAAAAATAAAAATAAAAATTGTTAACAAACTCAAATAAAATAAATTAATACTACCAATACAATTATAAACATTTATTAATTATTAAACTACAATTAAAAAAAAAACAAAAACTATTTAAATCAAAAAGCAAACCTTCTGTTTTATATATGTATAAAGGCTCTAACTTGTCCAAATATGATTTTGCAAGAACTCTATCACCAGTAAATAATGCTAAAGTTAAATAATATTATTATAGATATTATCAACTGTAGAACAAGTTTAACTTAAGCATAATGAACTCACATTCAACATCTAACAAATTTCACAGTTAAAAAGAAACTGCAAAAAAACGAACTTTTTTTGTTTCTTAAAAAATTGAAAAGTCTGTGTATATATTCTAAAAGAATAGTCTATAAACTGATTATTATTTTCAAAACATTTATAAAACTTCAAGTCCAAGATTGACATGGCAAACTTTTGAAGTTTTAATTAGGAATAACTCTCACAATTTTGAGTGCTAGAAATAAATAAATGGACATCATTGAGAAAATTTTTTAAGAATGATCATTAAAGGTGTGAGTCGTGATAAGCTAATATTATTCCATTAAATAAAAAGATATATCAATAATAATATAAATGGAACTGAAAGAGGCATTGTTAGTATGTATCAATTTTACAATAGACTTAAAAATAACTTACAAGAGAGATTTGTAGTAATCTATAAAAATAAAAGCTTACTGATAGTTTGTATAAAAATTAACATTTACTTTTATTATATTTCTTAATACTTATTCTTAATATTTACTTGTTTAAATCAACAATAAAAAAAAGTAAAAAAAAAATAATTTACTTTAATTAAATGAAACTTTAAGCCATTTTCTTTAACAACTAAACTTTCAATTTTAATTTTTATTTCTAATATTATAGTACTTTTATATTATATTTTATCAGTTTTTATTTATTACAGATCGTCCATTATGTCATGCAATTTAGGCTATTTTTGCCCACTCCCTCTTCATTACAACACTGTAATTCTTTAGTAACATGTCCTGTACAAGTCCTCACTAAAACACTTACCCCCCCCCCCCCAGAGCATAACATAATTAAAGGAAAACATATATAACCTTTGAATTACAAAAATACAGCTAATACCTTCTAAAGCCATGAATATTATAAAAATAGGCCATTCACATTCAATTCCTTCAAAATTCTAAAAATGCAAATTGAAACCAAGAATACTTTTTTATGTTACCTAAAAGTTTGATTAATCCAAATTTTCACCTCACTTTAAGTTCAGCTTTTTCATAATGCTGTCCAGGTTTGTCAAATACTGTTCCATACCCATCTCTTAAAAACCTTTTGAAACCATATTTACCCTAGTAATTTAAAATAAACATAAAAAAACTGAAGTAATAAAAAAGCAGTGAAACAATGATATATTGCCTGATAAGGGATTGTCCATAAATTCTTCATGTTTTAGGAGGATGAGGGGAAGGGGGGGGGAAGAGGGGTTAGTGGTTTTGTGACAGCTCATATGGAACTTGCTACTAAAGAGTTGTGATGAGGATGAGTAGGGGGTGGGGGTGGGTGGGAGTAAAAATGGTCAAAAATTGCATGAAATAATTTGTGGACGACCCCAAAACAAATTGTTTTGCTAAAAAATAGGCAACAATATTAAAATTTTTTGTTTACAACACTTTTTATATATAAGTTATTTTTAGCAAGTGTAAATGAATAAATAACTTTATGTCCATTTATTTCATTTTATTGCTCTTATAAACTTTTGTTGCAGTTTTTTTTATGGAATTGGATAGAAACCTAAACAATCTCCTTTTTGTCCTTCTTGAGCAACCAAAGGTACAACAAGATACATTACATTTCAATAGTATATCAACCTGGGTCTCAAAAGAACCAGAATTTTATAGTGATTTCAAAATTTTTTTAAAAAAATATTGCAAAAAAAAAATGTCATAAAAAACAACCTTATCAATTTTTAATTAAAAACTGTTGTTTTTTTGCATATAAAATTTTAGCAATTTATTTTTATTTGAAACCATCATTATTTCTGAAATTTCTATGAAACTTTGGTTCTTTTGAGACCCAGGTTGATATACTTTTGAAGGAAATTTTTTTTCCTGATATATGGGAGCTAGTGTGTAATCAAGGGTCATGGTGGGTGATCTTTTTCAAAAATTGAATAAAACCAATGACTTTTCAGTTACTTTTAAACCAAAGTTCATCTGTTTTATGTACAGGAAACTGGAGGTACCAAAAAGTCCTAGTGGACATACATCGATTGAAAGTTTGAATTCGGACAGCTGATCTATTAATTTAAAAATAAAACTTTTTTATTTTTTTAAATCTTTTCCAAAGAACATAATGTTTATGTAAATTAAATGAAATTGGTCATTCAATTAATTTACTGATTATTTAATCAATTAACTGGTAATTTATTTATTTTACTGGTCTATAATTACCATTCATTTAAATAAAAGTACTGTTTATTTACAACAGCCATAACTGAGTGATTAGAGTTTTGATTCGTAAAAATATCAAAATAACTTACAGACAATTGAGTAACAACTTTATTTTTCGTTTCTTTTTTTAGTATCTCATCATCAATAGAAAATGCAGGAAATCCAACAACAGTTAACAAGGCGGCATCAGTTGTCTAAAAAAATAAATAATAATAAAAAAAACTGTTACCACTATCTAGTTAACAAGTTAATGATTTTTAAAAAGCAAATATATTTTGGATAGTTGAAAGTTTTTAAAAATAATAAATAGAACCAACAATCAAACCTTAGAATTAGATTCTTTAGGAAGTAATGAATGTAAAATTGATTTGTTACGATAGTGAGCGTCTGGATCAACATATATTACTGATGACAAAGTTCCCTATAAAAAAATAGTAACAAATTACTACTTTTGTCTAATTAAATTTCAATTAAAAATTTAAAAGCATTATTTAAATTTGATTTTGTGATATCATCACCACATTTTAAATTTAACCAAAAAAAATTTAGTATATAAAATTGTTACCTTATCACCATACAAGTTAAAACCATTAATAGCCTCTAATGCTGCAATTGCCATGCCAATAGAACTAATAAAAAATTGAACTTATAATAAAGGTGTTGTACTTAAGTTGTAAATATGTAATATATATTAATAACAGTAGTAATAACAATAATAGTAATAATAATAACAACAACAATAAAAATAACAATAATAATAAGAAAAATATAATATGTTCTGTCTAAACCTGATCTCTATTATAATTTAATATATTATTCAAGTTTTTTAATATATATATATATATATATATATATATATATATATATATATATATATATATATATATATATATATATATATATATATATATATATATATATATATATATATATATATATATATATATATATATATATATATATATATATATATATATATATATTAGGGGTGTCCAAAAAACAACTTTTTTGAGAAAAACCTGCTGACACCCCCTAAATGTGTTTTATCTAATGCAAAAACACTAGGTTTAAAATTTTTTTGAACAAAAATTATTTTTAGGGGTAGCTCAAGGCCCTCAAAAATTTGACGGGTCCCTAATATTTTGAAAAAAAAAACCTTTTCTAAAGTATGTCAACCTGGTACTCAAAAGAAGCGATATTGTATAAAAACTTCAAAAATAATAATCATTTTACATAAAAAACATGCCTAAAAAAAATTATTCTCAAAAAACCTGAAAATATTGACTTTTTTTATTTTCAGCTTAAAAACAATAGTTTTTATGCATTTATACCTAAAAAAATTATTTTTATAAAAAATTATTATCATTTTTAAATTTTTTATATAATTTTGCTTATTTTGAGTACCAGGTTGACATACTTTAGAAAAAGTTTTTTTTTCAAAATATTAGGGACCCGTCAAATTTTTGAGGGCCTTGAGCTACCCCTAAAAATAATTTTTGTTCAAAAAAATTTTAAACCTAGTGTTTTTGCATTAGATAAAACACATTTAGGGGGTGTCAGCAGGTTTTTCTCAAAAAAGTTGTTTTTTGGACACCCCTAATATATATATATATATATATATATATATATATATATGTATATATACATATATATATATATACATATATATATATATATATATATATATATATATATATATATATATATATATATATATATATATATATATATTATAGCATATATAGATCAGCAATTGCTTATCCAATTTGCTGATCTTTATAGCATATCGCTTTTTTAGAAAAAGAAATAAATAAAGAACAGGGAAAAAGAAGATTGCTGCTCCATTCGAAACTTTCAGACAACGTAGCAGCACTCCTATGTGGCAGCAGGCTATAAGATAGTTGATGTATGTACTGATACCCCAGGCAACAGGCTATTTCAGTGTGGTATCAGACATGTTATCTAAACATGCATTTATACATTACATACAGTAACTACAAATAAGTTAATTTTCACTGATGCACATCACCCATTACTTGACTTTTACTTTACAAATGCTCCAATAAAAGTGAATCAGGTAAAAATTGCCTAATTTTACTTTGTTTTGTAAAAAAAATTAAAATCTGCCATACCATAAACATATTAGGTTCAATATGGTTATTATTATTGTTATTATTATAAATTTTATTATTAAATATATATATATATATATATATATATATATATATATATATATATATATATATATATATATATATATATACATACATACAGTATTGGAAAAACATTTGCAACCAACATCGAACAATGCTAAAAAGTGTTCCTAATTTTACATGTCTTAAAAACGAAACGAACTATACTACCACAGCAAACAGTTCAGGAGTCATAGCATGTCATGACATGAGCAATCAGCTGACAGGTGACAGCACATAGGCAGAATTTCGTTGACAAATGCCATTTTGCAGCCAACAAAACAAGTGCAACTTTTTTGGTTTGTTTCATTTTCTTAAGTCTGGTCCGTGTCAACGCCACGGAAGTTTTTTAATAATTAAAGGAAGTATCCAAATGTTGTGTTCCACAGAGCATTATTGTATCATCACAAGGTGATGATACAATAATGCACGCCTTGAGAAGCGTCATTATTTATTTTTATTATTTTTATGACTTCAAGTGCAAAAGTGGCTCCCGACAGTCTTGGATTGAAACTAAGAAAAAAAATTATTGGCGATTACGTAAATGGAATGTCACAAAAAAGTATTTGTGATAAATATCGTGTGAAAAAATGGATCGTATCAAGACTATATTCCAAATATCGTTCTATGGGGAAATTAGCAGCAGATAACAAAGGTGGAAAGACCGCGTTCCACCACTTCTAGAGAGGATTCTATGATCTTCGGATCCGTCAAGAAGGATCCCTGGATATCATCAGTCGAGATACAAAAGCAATTAAAGCTGCCTGTATCGAACCGAACAATCAGACGATGTGCTGTCGAAACCGGATTATTTTCACGAAGCCCTGCAAAGAAACCGCTGATTTCACTAAAGAACCAGAAGAAAAGACTTCTGTTTGCTACATCTCATATTGACTGGAATGTGAAGAAATGGCGAACTGTCCTGTTCAGTGATGAATCGAAGTTCAACATCATTGGGAGCGATGGCATTTGCTGTGTACGTCAACCGGCCGGAAAAAGCCTCGATTTACGTTACTGCCATAAGACCGTGAAGCATGATGGAGGCAATGTAATGGTCTGGGGGTGTTTTTCTGCTAACGGTCTAGGTCCAATACATCGAATCGATGGATTAATGGACCGTTTCATATATAAAAATATCCTGAAAGATGTTATGTTACCTCATGCTGGAATATGCCAATAAAATGAGTTTTTCAGCAAGACAACGATCTAAAGCACACTGCAAAAGTAGTCAAGCAGTGGTTTCAAGACAACCACCTATCGGTGATGGATTGGCCACCTCAACCTCCGGATCTCAACCCTATCGAGAACCTGTGGGAGATCGTCAACTGCAGAATTAATCGTGAAGGTGTTCGTAATAAGGATCAATTGTTTGAGCAAATCCAATAGGCCTGGGCAGTGGTTCCACAAAGTTTCATTGATCACCTGATTGAATCTATGCCTCGAAGATGCAAGGCTGTGTCGACAACAAAGGATTTGCCACGAAATATTGATAGCGAAATACAGCTTGGTCAACATTTTGTGAAGTTGTACTTGTTTTGTCCAGAAGGAAATCACCTTTTTTTAATACTTTTGATTAGTTTATTAATTTTCGTGTACAAAGAATGAACTTTGTGATGAATAAAACTTAAAGAACTTAAAGAAACGAAAAAAAATTCATGATATTGTGATAGAAAATCGTAAAATCAAAGTTCGTGAAATTGCTAACCGTGTAAACATTTCTTATGAACGTGTTTTTAATATTTTAAACAAACATTTGGAAATGAAAAAGCTTCCTGTCAGATGGGTGCCGCGCGTGTTGACAGTTGACCAAAAACGCAACCGAGTGACGACTTCTTAACAGTGTTTGGACATGTTTAATCGCAATCCATCGGAATTTTTGCGCCGTTTTATTACGATGGGTGAAACGTGGATCCATTTCTACACACCCGAGTCGAGGCAACAATCAGCACAGTGGTTAAAACCTGGGGAAAGTCGACCAAAGCGACTGAAAACGCAGCAATCGGCTAGAAAGGTTATGCCAAGTGTCTTTTGGGACGCACATGGCATAATATTTATTGATTTCTTAGAAAAAGGAAAGACGATCACTGGAGAGTATTATGCCACCTTATTAAATCGTATACGGGATGAAAATTGAGAAAAGCTGACCACATTTGCGGAAGAAAAATTTTTTTGTACCATCATGACATTGCGCCATCTCACATGTCATTAAAAGCAATGGCAAAACTTGATGAGTTAGGATGGGAAATACTTCCCCAGCCAGCTTATTTGCCAGATTTAGCACCCAGTGACTACTTTTTACTACTTTTTATTTCCTAAATTGAAAAGATGGCTCCAGGGAAAGAGGTTCGCAACAAATGAAGAAGTCCGAAAAGAAACAAATGGATATTTTGAGGGACTTGAGAAAAATCATTTTAAGAAGGGAATTGAAATGTTGAAAGATCGATAGAATAAATATATTGTTCTAAAAAGTGATTATGTAGAAGAATAAAACATATTTTTCCTGATATTTTGTTGTTTTTCTTGGATTTCCGGGAACTTATCAATCCATGTAGTATATATATATATATATATATATATATATATATATATATATATATATATATATATATATATATATTATATATATATATATAAATATATATATATATATATATATATATATATATATATATATATATATATATATATATATATATATATATATATATATATATATATATATATATATATATATATGCATATATTAGGGCGGGTCATTTTTCAAATTTTTCCAGTAAATGCTTAGGCCATATGATTTTTAAATGTTTTGGCCCTTATATAAAAGTAATCCAAAAAAAAATAATTTATTTTTAGGTTTTCAAATTTTGACCTAAAAAATCGAGGTTTTGGGTAAAAAACGCTATATACGCGGTTTGCCACAACTATTAATTAGTTGCTCCGATTGACTCAAAAACATCTTTTATGGAATCCTTGATCCCAAATACCCCTAATTAGACACCTAGATAATCATTTTAGCTTAAAAACTTATAATTATAAAAGTTTACAAAAATCATTATTTTTGATATATTTTGCTGTACTAGGTTGGTTGAAAAGTTCGCGGAGCGGCACCTATGTTGCAGTAGTAGAAACAAATTTATAACTGTATTAAACGTATTCATTCTTCGTATGAACGCATAAAAAATTTCAAGTCGATATGTCATTTCAGTCTTTGTTTACAAGCTAATGAAATTAGACGTGTCATAGTATTTTTTAAAATGGAAAATATTGAACATCGTGCTGTAATAAAATTCTTTGTGAAAAAAGGTTTAAAGCCCATGGAAATTCATAATGAAATGGTAAATGTGTTGGGTGATGATGCTCCTTCAAAAACAACAGTATGCAAATGGGCTGCGGAGTTTCAACGTGGGCGTTCAAGCCTTGAAGATGACCCTCGCTCT